TAAGAAAGACCGGCCACAATGAATATTGTCTCCCAGACATTCCAAATGGACTAAATCCATCAGTGCATAATCCAAGATACACATTCCGGCTATTGCTAGCGAAATGTGGATGTACATTGTTAAAATGTTTACAGGCTCTTGCATCTGATGGATGAGTCATCTCTCCATCCGTCTGAGTATGTTCGGCGTGCCATCTCATTCCTCCAGCAGTCTGCTCAGATTGGTACAATCTTTTCAATCTGCCTGTGATTGGTAGGTACCACATCCTTTGGTACGGTACCCTATTACGCCCTCGACCTTGCGGTTTGAATCGTGGCTTCTTACAAAATCGACATTCTTCTAACTTCTCATCATCTCCCCAGTAAATCATTCAGTTGTCGATGCAAACGTCTATCATCTCCGAGGGCAACCCTAGACTATATACCAATTTCTGAATCTGATAATAAGATTCGGCAGACACATTATCTTCTGGCAAATACTCTTTAAACAGGTCTGCCCATGCATCCATACATTTTTCAGGTAGATTGTGATCGGTTTTAATACTCATCATTCTAGCAGCCAACGACAATTTAGACAGACCTTCTCTACAACCACTGTAAATTGGCTCATTCGCAGCTTCTAACATTTCGTAAAACTTTTTGGCATCTAAGTTAGGTTCTTCAACTTCATCATCATCATGACTTACAAATGCATCACCTACCATATCATGAACCCTATCACAATCTACCATTTGTTCCTCTTGGTGATGATAGCTATAACTACTGCTACCTTCATTACGCAAATGATCAACCGGTTCAACCTGATTACTACTGCTACCTTCATTCCTACAACTAGCATCTTNAGGACAGAACATCTTACCACTTTCCTGCGTGAGTGGTGTAGAATCTGCTTGATGCATAAACGTCTCCAACCCTTCGAGAAATTCTTTCGTCACCCTCCCGTTATTATCTCTGTGTGAATACATCCACTTCCGCAACTCGAAAATACTTCCCGGACCGGACATTTTTTTTTGTTTGATCAAGCTTATAGCTGATTTTTTTAGGTGTGTTTCCAAATGAATCACATATGGTGGTATTTATAGAAATTTTCGAAACTGAGCATTTACTAGGAAATTGCTAGGAAAAGTAGGTACAAAACACGTTTTTGATTAATATTCTATATTTTCTATCCATTTCCTCTTAATTTCGTAGTAACAAATTTTTTCCTCCTAATTTCGTAGTAAAGATTTACTAGGATTTTACGAGGAAATGTTCTACTATGCCTTTACGAGGAAAATAACATTTTCCTCGTAAGAGCCTCGTAAATTTACTTCCACTTTACGAGGAAACGCTTTTCTTGTAAGTTTACGAGAACCTTACGAGGAAAAGATGTTTCCTCGTAAAGTCGAAGTAAACTAGTAGTATTTTTACGAGGAAATGTTTTCCTAGTAAATTTTCCTAGTAATGACTTAGTTTTCTTGTAGTGTTTCCTAAATAATAAAATGTGGTAAGAAAATAGTACTAATTGGATAAATTAATTAATTTATTTACTACAAATATGTTTTAACCAACTATGTTTCTAGCAGTTTATTTTATTAGCTTAGTTGTTAAAAAGTGATAAAATAATATATTTATAACCAAAGTGTATAAAAATTTTCGCAATAACTCATTTTCAAATGAAAAGAGTAATACGAACAATTTGAACTGGTTATTATATGTGATAATGTGAACAATATAAGACAATAAATAGAATAACTATATGTTATATAATAAAAGAATAATTTTGAGTTCAAATATTATATGAGGATGCAGAATAATTTATTACACTCATCCCTATTGTCTTAGCTTTGTGATTTATTATTTAAAAAATAAATGTTTGACTTGGATCCTTAGTGAAATTGAATTTTTTTTTTATAGTCAATAGTTGTAGGCTCCTTCTCAAAATTCACCTACGTCTTTTATCACATAAGGTCATTTTTACAAATGTAGATCATAATGGTCACCTTATCGGCCCAACATTGATTACAACTTTTACACCATAGTGTGAGCCTTGATGAACCAACAATTATATTATTGAAGATCACATCAGATTCTAATGATGTGTTGAACTCTCAATGATGTGTCTATTAAGAAATAACTAATGTGCACAAAGATTGAAAAGAAGAAAAAAGTACCATGATAGTATTCATTCTTTTACTTGCTCCATCTAGCTGCTCACAAGGTTCTTGTTTCTCAATCTCTTAAGAATCTCTAGATCCAAAACCATCAAGTCTAGTCTCTTCTTGTGAATCTCACGTCTTGGTTATTCTCTTGTTCTAAAATATCTGGAGGCTTTCTTAAGCTTCTGCTGTCTGTAACTGAATCAGAAAACTCTTATTGACCAACATTTTGCTCTTCAGCAGATTCCAAAATCTTTCATCAATCTGTTGACTCTTTTTTTTATATCTTCATCCTCAGTTTGAGTTTCTTTTCCTTTGGATTCTTCCTTGGCATTCTTCTCTTGACCACGTGTTATCTTTTTCTCCATCTATTCAACTGCTCCTGATCCAATGTTATCACTTTTAGTCTCTTCTGAAACTTTCTGCTCCATTACTTCCCCAAACGCACCCTCCTCAGGTTCAGTCTCTTGCACTGGTCTCGGAACATCATTCCCTATATTTTTCTCTGCCTCTGGAGCTCTCTCTTCCACCAATTCTTTGTTATTTTATTGTTTGTCTTGTTGCTTTATTCCCTTAGAATGTGGTTCTTCATCCTCTTGAAGCTTTATTAAGCTTATGTCTTCACTTTGTCTTCTCACCTTAGTATCTTCCTCTTCTTCTTCTTTCTTGTCAACCAACTCATGTTTCTTATCTGGTTTTCCAGATTCAAGTTCCTCAGTATTTGTCTCAGCATCATCTTCTGCAACTACTTGTAATCTCTCAGTGTTTGGTGTGGATCCTTCTCCTATCTCTGCATCTTTAAAACTTTTATCTTCTCAGAATCACTTGTTTCCCCTTCCACCAGTTCATGGTTCTTGCTTACTTCCTTGCGTCTCACTAACTCTCTAATTCCTGGAGCCTTTCTTAAGCCATCATCATCAGCCGTTTCTCTACCTTTACTTGTTCCACCTAGCTGCTCATGAGGTTCTAGTCTTTGAATCTCGTCAAATGCTCCAGACCCAAAATCATCACTTCTAGTCTCTGCTTGAGAATCTTTCTGCTTCTTCACGTCTTGTTCTAAAATATCTGTAGGCTTTCTTAAGCTACTGCTGTCTTCACCCTCTGTAACTGAATCAGCAATCTCATGTTGACCAACTCTTTCTTCTTCATCAATCAGTTGACTCTTTTCTAATTTAGCATCGTCAGTTTGAGTTTCTTTCCCATCAGACTCTCTCTTGGCATCTTTATTGTTTATCTTTTCTTGACCACCTATTTTTTCTTCAACCATTTCTTGAATCTTGCTGTCTTCCTTGTATCTCTCTGGTTCTTTAATCCCTTGAGCCTTCCTCAAGCCATCATCATTATCGTCACCATCAGTCTTTTTCTTTTCCATTTCTCTACTCTTACTTGGTCTACCTATCTCATCAGATTTTTTTTCTTTAATCTCTTCAACTTCTACAGAACCTATGTCATCATCACGTTTCCTCTCTTCTGAAACTTTCTGCTCTGTTACTTCTTGGTTATCTTCTTGTTCTATAATGAATGGAAGCTTTTTCAAAGCTTTTAACCAGCTTCTTCTTCCTCCTCCAACAAATACTTCTCAAGTATCGCCACTATTGCTTCCTTCGCACTGAACCTAACAACAACAACAACAAACAACACTCTTTTAAGTTATCACCTCACAAAGATTCAAGCATTGACTAATATGATCAACAAAACATCTCACAAAATCACATACCTTCCAGGTCTAATGATCTTATACTTCCCAACTTTACTCAAATCAACTTTCGTTCAACCCACACGACCCGATGGAAGCAAACCACCATCATAGACATAAGCACAGTGCTGCCAAAGATTCTCGAAATCATTGACACAAATCCAAATTACTATTTTTTATTAAACTGAATGGCAAACCATGAGGATTCATCTTAGACATCTGTTTGAAATAGAAATAAACGCTCTGTTTGAAATGGAAAGGTGGATATTCATCTTTGCAGGTTCTATCTCTAGATAGAGACAGAAACGAAATTATGACTTACTTGTGTAAGCATTTCAGTAGAAAGTCTTTCGCCTCTGGTGAAAGGTCTTCTGGAACCGGAGGATGAGCTTCTGCCAATATGAAGGACAGCGGCAAACTGGAAAAAAATTACTTGTTAGTTTTCTAAAATAAAAGACAGCAGCGTATGCACCAACAATATTGGAAATTGTCTTACACCCAGTCAATATGCCTATCTGCTGATACTGCTCACTCCAGGGAGGTTTTCCTGTAGCCATCTCGATCACAGTGCACCCAACTCAACACTCCATATATCAGCAGAGCTTCAGAAATAAGAAGGTTAGACGAATAGTTGGAAACACACAGGGGAAAATAGATGAGAACCCATTTCCAAAACACCATAACATTTGTAATCTATCATCTTACAAAATGTTAGAAGATTAAAGAAAGTAGTAGATTAAGGGAATTATGACATAGTAAAAGTACTTACAGGTTCAGGAAAAGATCCAAACTTCTCCAACAAAGATGAAATAGAACCACCGGAAACAAACTCCATAAATATATTCAACGAATCACTCTCCCTTACAGTTCCCAAATATCTCTAAAAACAAACAAAAAATCAACACTACACAAAGGAAAAAAAAAGTGAATGGATTAGCGTACTAACAACAATGTTTGGATGTGAAAGATTCTTCAGAAGTCGCACTTCTTCCTCAATCTCACGAATATGCCCTAAAACAAACAATAATTCATCCTAAATTAGAAACTTAAACACAAAGACTAAATCACTAAGCTACCAAAGTAATTAAACCTCACCTGAATCTTCTCCTTTCCATTGTTTGGAGCAATTAAAACCTAATCAACAAAGCAGCAACAACAAAACCATCACAAAATCAACAAAAGTAATAAACTTAAAATACAATTAACGGATAATCTGAACTAATAATTTTCAAATCGAACTGTTTAATCGCAAGAAGCTCGCCGGAATCGAGGTTCATCCCCATGTAAACCCTCCCGAAAGCACCGCAACCGATTAACTCTCCCTTTCTCCACCGAATCGCCGACGGCCCTTCTTCCTTTTTAGGAACGGGGAGACCAGGAGGCGTCGTCTTGTTGAAGAGTCCCATTCTAGAGCTGCGGATGCTGGAGGTAATCTTACCGACGAATCCGCTGAGACAACCATGTCGAGGAAGGTGATAAGAGGAACCCATTGAATGAGAAGAAGCAAAGGATGGATTGTAATGAACCAAAGAATTGAATAGAACAAAGAGTGGCAAATTTAATCGCCAAAACGGAAGAGATGATATCGTAACAGAGGAAGTCGAAACAAAAAAAAGAGATCTTCTGCTTGGACTAAATTCTACATTGTCCTAGTCAATACCATCTTTATTCTATTTTAATCCATCATAAATTTGATTTTTTTTTTCTTTTTGCTCAAAGTCTAAGTATAGTTAAAAAATCAATTACTCTTAATGAATCAGTATTATGTGTGATATGAATTACTAGAAACTACTTTGAATTACTTTGAATTATTAGAAACTATCTTAAATTACTAGAAACTACTATGAACAAAAAACAAACTACCTTGATTACTACAAACTACTACGAACAAAAAAAAAAGTGGGGGCAGTGAGAAAGATGGTGGGATAGTTAGAATAGTTATTTTCCAATTGGGGTATATCAGAATACTTTCCCTTCTGCTTTCATCATTAAAAAAAAAAAATCTTTTGCTTTCACCAGAGATAAACCGAATACCAGAAGAGAAATCAGACCAATACCAAACCTGGTTATAATGTGATAACCAAATCCTATGTGGATGATTCAAGGTTTTTAATTGGCTAAATATTATTGTTGACGTGGACAGTATATGATGGCTTTATTTAATCCTTTTAATAGAGTAAGATTTCTTTTCAAAGTATAAACTTCTCTGGTCTGTGGTTGAGAAAAGTAGGTTTTCATTTTCTTCTCGTCATCTGATTTGGGAAAGCCGTGAAGATTATTTTGTGATAATTTATGATATCATAAAAGACTTTGGTCCCCTCTTGTTCCTTTAAAGCTTCGGCTAATGGACACAAAATACGAATAGAGATTTGATCCAAATCTATCTTGTAACTGCAAATTTGTCTCACATTTACATGACTGCCACAAATGCATCATAAAATTGCAATATATTTTATGTAGAGAAAATTGGTAAAATGAGACGCATTAATTTTTAGTTTGTTCCATCATAACTTTGTCATAGATAGTTGAGAATATCTAGGAACAAAGCAAAATAGATTCTCAAGCACTGCTTTAGCAAGTATCTAGAAAAGAAAAGCTAGCATGGTGGACCAAGATGGCACACATTCCAAATAACTACGCAAGTCCATCTATACTATTAAAACTGAAGTACAAAAATTAAATGTTTGGAAACATGAATAAGAAAATTTTAAAAGTTTGATTGGAAACATGGATAGCTTATAAACCTAATGAGCTTATTTATTAAACTAAAGATTACTGCGATCCAAAGTAAAATTATTATTGTTTTTGGGTTTTCTATCATTAATATTTAATTTATTTCTGAAAATTATGTATACATATATGTACTCGTGTTTTAAATTTATTTAAAATAAATCAAGAATAATATATATTTTATTTATATGATTTATATTGACTATTGTTATAAGTTTTTAACAGTGATATACTAGCCTTACAATTTTTCATTAAAAATTAACTTAAAATTTTGACTAAATTGTTTAGTGTATTTAACTTTGCACAAAATTTAGCCAAAAAGTCTTTATAAATTATTACTAAAATGTTTACGGATCACAATATTTTACCAACGTCCCTGTTACACAATACAATGATGAAATACAATGTTTAAACAGTATATTATTACTTAGTAAAATAGGAATTGTTAGATTGTAACTTTTGAAATGTTTATAGATATCACAAAAACAAAAACCCGCCTGTGGGAACCGAAATCCACCTACTGTCAAATAATCATAAATAAGGAAAATTCGGGAAAACCCTAAGTTTCCAGAGGAACCGGCTATCTGCAGAACCGCACAACGAAGATTAAGATAACGATAAACTTAGAATTTTTAAAAGAATAAACGAAAATTGAGAGCAAAGAGGTTCTTATTCCGGATCTGCGTAGAATTGGTACAAAAAGAGTGGCCGAAAACTTAAGAACGAAAAACCCTAATTGAGACGCAGCTCGCTAACAGAAAACAGAAATATTCCTAAATGCTAATTTTGGTGGTGAGAGCTCTGAAAAATCGTGTCCCTTGCTTCTGCCCTAGACCTCTTATTTATATACTCCTCGCCTTGGTCATTCGGTCTTTCCATTTCGCCTAGATTTGACTATATCGGGAATTTTCCATTTTTCTCGATCCTTCCTTTTCTTCCGCAGAAATCTTCTATTTTTCTTCAAACCTTCCTTTTATCTTCAAACTTGACATTTATCTTCCTCCTGCGAGTAAACCGTCGAAACATTATCGTATCTTCGGGTTAAATTCCGTTAAGATCGTGAGATGGGTTTTTATCGCATTTTAGGACCTTCTGGGCCGTTCTGCAGTAAATCCGTTTTCCGACTTTATACGAGATCGTTTCCTGATCCGATGCTATTTTTAATAAGTTCCTCGAGCTAATCGTAAAGTTTTACGATTTACTCGACTTTTTATTAAAAACACGTTTTTTAACGATTTACTCGACGTTTTTATTAAAAACGCGTTTATTATGATTTCAACGAGAAATCTCGGATAAATCGTATAGTTTAGGCAATGTCCGGTGTTTCGTTTAACCGTTGCCGTTTTATACGATTTCCTTGAGTTCTTTGTCGAGAAGGCGAAGTTTTACGTTTTTTATCGTAAAACTCGAACGATAGGTCGGATCGAGATGGAACGGGAGATATTTCGGCCGTGGTTCAGAATGTTACTGTGTCGAAAGACGTACGTTTCGAATTGGGAATGCGGGAGACCGAGGCTCGGGACGTCCAGGAAGTTTCTAGTTCGTCCAACGACGAACTAAGCCGGCTGGCTTAGTTCGCCCGTGGGCGAACTAGTCGGTACGGGACTAGTTCGCGTTTTACAGCTGTTTCGGTTTTTTGCGGTTTCGTAAAACGATTCTCGAGTTTTATAAAACGATCTTCGAGTTTTATAAAACGATCTTCGAGTTTTATAAAACGATCTTCGAGTTTTATAAAACGATTCTCGAGTTTTATGAAACGATCTTCGAGTTTTATAAAATGATTCTCGAGTTTTATAAAACGATTCTCGAGTTTTATAAAACAATCTTCAGGTTTTATAAAACGGCTTCTCGAGTTTTATAAAACGGCTTCTTGAGTTTTATAAAACGATCTTCGAGTTTATAAAACGATCTTCGAGTTTTATAAAACGGCTTTTCGAGTTTTATAAAACGATTCTCGAGTTTTATAAAATGATCTTCGAGTTTTATAAAACGGCTTCTCGAGTTTTATAAAACGGCTTCTCGAGTTTTATAAAACGATCTTTAAGTTTTATAAAACGATCTTCGAGTTTTATAAAACGGCTTTTCGAGTTTTATAAAACGATTCTCGAGTTTTATAAAACGGTCTGCGAGTTTTATAAATAACTTTGAGTTTTATAAAACGACTCCTCGGGTTTTATAAAACTATTCCTTTTGTATTTTTGTGGGGAGTTTTGGCTATTAATTCCGTCGTACCGATTTTGACCCCAACAGTTAGCCCCCCAGCTCGTAAGAATCGTGAGGTTCTTGCGAGTGGATTGAGCTTGTTTGGCGAGTTTGGTAGAATTAGGCAGAACTTTAATGGCCAAAAAGTCCAAGGGTGAATAGTAAAATTTTGAATTCTTTATTCCACTTTTTACAACTTACCCAAGAAATTTTTCTCTCCACTTTCTCTGAAGATCTTCAAACATGTTTTCAGGAAGAAAGACTCGTTCCTCAACTAGTTCCAATTTTCACAATTCTGAGGGAACGAGTTCGCAGCCTCCAGCTTCGGCTCCGAAAGAAGAGTATTCGTCCCCGTTAATCGATCCGACGGACCTCGAGGCTTTTTGGGCGTTGGGAGACGAGTCGGGGTCCGCTAGGCCTGGGACGTGGGTTCCAGCTTTGTCGGACGTTGATCAAATTTCCAGACATCCGAGCTTGACGCTTTTAAACAGTATCGATTACATGCGCGAATTTTGCCGAGTTCTAGAGGCTGTCGAGTTTCGTTCCCCACTTGTCGGGGAGGGTGACAGGGATGCGCCCAAGGGTTTTTTCACATGTTACAACATTTTCTTGCAACAATGCCACTTATGGTTTCCGATCCCGGAAATCATTGTTCATTACCTTCACAGGCTGGGGCTATCGATCAGTCAGTTGAATCCCCCTGGTTTAAAGCAACTCATTGGTCTTTTGACGCTGAGTTATGAGCAGGGAATTACCCTTAACGTTGATCATCTCGAGGGTCTGTTAAAGCCCACAGGGCAATCGCGGAGGATCACTCTATGCCCTCGTAATGAAATTGTTACGGGCTGCTCAACGCTTTCTACTTCTTGGAAGAAAAATTTCTTCTACGTTCGTATCGACGGTGCGTCGGTCGAGGAGGGTTGCATTCCGCTTTTTACGACCATGTGGGGTCGGAGAGGTATGTGAATCGAGTTCATACGAATCCTCTTCTTCTGATTATTTTTTTATTCGTTTCTGTTTTTCCGCAGTGACCAACCCTTTGCCTCCGTATCCCGCGGATCTTCGGGACATCACCACTTCTCTCAAACGTGGTGAAATTGGTTGGTGCAGTTTTTCTCCGCAACGTGTCCGTCAAGCGGTTGCCCTCTTCCGATCTCGACTTTTTGCGGATTCTCCAATTTATGAAGAGGATCCGTTTATCGGGGGGTTCATTCCGTATGTTCCCTCGATGGGGAGTGGCAAATCATGCTTCCGAAGGGATAAAAATCTGGTTGTCGAAGACGATGACTCTGAACGCGCGGCTTCTCCTGATAATATTCTCAAGGACTTCCTTAATAGTCAGACGGAAGAAGGCGTCTGGACGAAGGCAGGCGGATCATCGACCTCCCATTTTCTGGACACCGACCATGATCAAGTCCCAGAGTTTATTAGGGTGTCTGAGAAAGCTAAGGAGGTATGTGTGTTTATTGTTTTCTTTTTCGAGCAATTCTTTTTTCTTATGATATCGCTTAATTCTTTTCTTTGGTAGGGTTTCCTCGTCATGAGCCGGGCCCTAGACAGCCGTACCGCTGAAGCTCGCCTTGCCGAGTTTCGAGCGAATATGGCTGAAAAAGAAGTTGCTCGTCTTCGGGCAGAGGTCAAGGCCAACCGAGCTGAAGAAGTGGTTGCGAGGGAGGTTGCTCGCGTGAGGGAT